CCTCGCCTTGATGCCAGCCTGGCCTGTATAGTTAAAGAGTTCATCTCCCCGAATTCTCGTGTAAGTCCGCTCTCTTTCCTGCATAAAAATAGACTTTCCAGCGATTCAGAAATATTTGCTTGATTGAGCCATTACAGCCTGACACCGTCCTCTTCACTTCTGGCTTTAGTCTGATTCTACCCGTTTCGAACTTTTAAGACTCAAAAACGTAGCATCGATGCTAGGTAAATTTTTAAAATCTTTAGTAAAAGCTATTTTGGGCGAGTTGGAGAAGAGTAGGAACCGACTCTATTGATAGTTTGGGAGCCCAACAGACGATAAATGTGACTGAAGATTTGGATTTGGATAAACGCCATGGATACTCCAGTGGCCCACTTGTAGACTCAGCCTTAGTGTCACTATGCCATTACATCCTTCATGCTATATATCTTATACTACTTTTATATCGTTTGCAAAAGTTGTAGGAAAACCCTAAACGGGTTCATCGGAAATGATCTTGCAGACTAATTGAAAGATGGAATAGCTTTAGTTTATTAAGAAATTCTTCGGGACCGAATCCTCTCATATACTAACTTTGTTTCGCTTGTTATTCTCGATGAAGGTGGGTCTCAAGATTGTTATTAATCTTCACATAAGGACCACCGTCGCAGGACGATGAACCGAGGACTTCTTCGCACAAATCAACAGTCTTCCCTACTCGGCAAACCTCTTTCGGTTTCCGGTAAGACCACATCACGAATTCCATCCAACCAACTTTCCCTTCAAAATTGAGAGTCATGCCGCAAAGGCATAATTGCTTTTATCCGCGCCGAATTTCTCACAAAATGAAGTCATTCTTGGCGTCTATTTTCCATGGAGTAACATGTTTGCCTCTGAATTTGCATATCCATCTTCCGAGTCTCGCTGAGAGTGCTGAGGAGAATTACAAATTTCAGTTCAGAGCAGGGGATCACGATAATTTCGATATGCATACAGGAGTGAATTTCAACGCAAATAGTTAGGATTATATTCAACCGTTGTGAGTAGAGCCGCTATAATTGCGTTAGGAAATCCAATTTAAAACTATATTTTAAGTTAATTTGTTTCAAAAGCATCATTAGATCTTTACTATGCTCTTTACTTAGGCTAGGCTATTTGAGGTGGCTTAAGGAGTGATAGTTTATTTTCTCACAATTAAATAACTAGGCCTCATGATATCACTGAATTTCGCGTTGCCTTGCCACTCAATAGGATTTCTACTCCGAACTACAATTTAGGTACAACTTCGTCTGGGTCTCATCGGGCTTCATAGTTCAATCAACCTAGGGTGATTTATGCTCTTATTTTAGATCTAATGGTTGCTTTTAAGCCTACTTATTTATCTAGAGTAGTATCGTCGATTGTAACGAAAAGCAAAAGCTCTTCCTATCTGCACCAGTCCCATCATAAAATGTGAATCGGATGGGACCTGGCTTTCCCTTAAAGTTAATTCTACCCTGTGACCCACTTGCATTTGTGTGTGTGTGTGTGTTAGGGGGGTAGTGGTACTGTCGATGATACCCAATTTCAGATCCTTACTTGGTCATCATCTATTTGCATCCAACTTTCGCAATCCGTGTGCGTCAGAATCTCTTGCTACTCGCCAAGCAATCACGAAGCCCTTTCTTCTATATAAGCTAAGAGGTCGTGAATTTCTCTCATTCACTGTTACCTGCCGCCGAGGCCATTACGCCCAGAACCGACGTCATACTCGACTCGGGCTTTAGAGTGTCCCTGAATCGTAAGCCTCTAATCTTGACCTACCCGCTCCAAAGTCTTTTCAGACAGTTCACAAACATCATCGTGTTCCTTCTCTATTCTGGGCCACAAATCTGCCAGCACGCAAATCGAAATCAGTGCCATCATCTCATTTCCGCCCGGTCGGCTTGACTTGCATTTTGAGACCGGCCTTAAACTGCTCTACAGCAGTTGCGTGTTCCCTGCTAAAGCCAAAAATTGTGGCCACTCTTCTCTTCGCTAGTCCAGAGTATAAAGTAGACAGGAAATATCTCTCCTAAAGTCCTTCATGCTCTGGAAATGTGGTTCTTGCCGGGCAGTGAAGATTTTGTCAGATCCTTTCATCACTGGCTGGTAAGGAAGTTCCAATGAGCTATGAAATTGGCCCTCAGGATAGGCCGTTTCCTTACAAAAATCCTAGCTGCTTAGATCATTGCATGTCGCTACTCGTTAGTTATGCAACGAGACCGGTTTCTGGTTATTTTCGTTTTCTTTTTTACCTATGCGAGAGCTGATTGATTCGATTCAAAATTATGATAATTCTCGTTATACAACCGTCATTAGCATATATTAAATTCACACAAATATTTGTTTTTCATTATACAAAATAGCCCTAAATGCTTGATCCTGCCTGACATATGGGTCCATATTTAGAAAAACTGGTTTTCGAAGAACCCCTTAATAGATTGATTTTCGAGTACCTTTAATCTCATTTGAAGAGGTCATTTGAAGGACTTTATAAGTTAGCCTCAATGGAAGCTGTAGACAGATTGCTTTGGAGCTGTGAGTGTCGATTTGTGCCAATAAGTCCTCGGCTCATCGCCCCGCCACTCTGATGAAGTCTTGCTGAGCTTTCGTACGTCATGTGAAGGACATCTTCAGAGCAGGACACCATGCTCTACGATAATCCTATTTATTGGTCCCAAGTATTTTTCGTTTTCAAGTAGGCTTTTTGAGATTGCATTTAGATAACATGCATGAGATGTATTCATCTTATGTTGTTTAAGGTTATAAAGGTAGTGGTAGTTGAATTTTCCCACAATCTGATGAATAGGCCCTACGCTTCCATTGAGTCTCACATACACTTTCTTTCCCAGACAGTATTCACATCCAGACTTGAATGGAATGTAGTTTCGACGTCACCTGAACTTTGTCGCATTAGCACCTTGCGCGGGACTCGAACCATGACTCGACACTTTAGCCACCACGCCACATTGCCACGAGTGTCGTTTGGTCACAGGGCAGGTGTGCATTTCAAGGAAGGCCATGCCTTTTCTCATATCGCATTATGTGGTGAGATTATCGATGAAGCAAAGTTGTATTTGCTATAACAGTTTAATACATTAATTATAGTTAGTTTTATAAGCAGGTTTTCGAGGCTACCGATGCAACATATATGTGAGGTGTATTCATCTCGAAAACCTACTTATAGGAGAAAAGTAAGTAATGTCTTCGATTGCTATAGCAAATATAGGTTGGCTTCATTGACAATCCTAACACAGAATGTGATATCGAAAATGCCTGATCCTCCTTGAAATTCACGTCTGCCCTGTGATCTCAAGGACACTCGTGGCAATGTGGCGTAGTGGTTAATGTGTCGAGATTAAACGCTGCACTGTCATGGATCGGCTCTCGCTAGGGCTGTTTATAAGACATATGCAAGGTCGAAACTGCAGTCCACTCTGGATGAGAACAAATTTTGGGAAAGCAAGGCTATGCAAAATTAAATAGAAACATCAACTCTAATCATAGCATTGTGGGAAAATTCAACTAACAGTCTTTCACTTTAAACTCATACATGAAAAGAAGCTGGGTTTCGAAGAGTCCTTCAGCAGGTTGATACTGGCATACCTTTCATTCCGTTTGAGGAGGCGAGTGTAAGGGATTCGTAGATTGGCCTCATCGAGTACCGAAGGAGAGTTGCCTTGGTCTTTTGTCTTTTGAATTGTGCAAAGAAGACTTCGGCTTGCCGTCATCCGCGAATCCCTTCCACTCGCCTTCTCAAGCGAAATGAAATTGTTTACCTTTTCAACTGTTTGTCTGATTTTTGAGGAGTTTTTCTGGGCGTCTGGATCGGTAACAACGACCAAAGTGAAAACTCTGAATAAAAGTCACCATGTAACTGGTTCTGAGACTGCGGAAGCACCAATCAACCAGTCCGGATGCCTTCTGATGCCACTACTGTCAAGCCTGTCTGCCTCGGAATGGCGGTTTTAGTGCCGGTCCTCGAGACTCGTTCGGTAAAGGATAGGGCTCATGGGCTGGCGTAGAAAAGTGAGCCACTAAGGTGCCATTTTTGGGTTACTACAGACCACACTCCAGGCGGTCACGGGTTGGTACCATGTTATGCTTGCTGACAAAAACAATGACAACGCCGTAAACCTTTGGCATTATTCTCCACAACAAGCTCATCTTGCCAGCCCAGCTCTCATTGATTACTCGGCCATAGATAATTTCCTCCTGCCTTCAGAAATTCTGCTCACCAAGCTGCAGTTGTGTGAGCTGGTTGCTATCTTCTGTTGGCCGGGTTTTGTGTACAACCATTTATTTATTCTTATTTACGCCCCTTCTGACTACATTTGCATCCGTGTCCATCCGACCCATGGAGGACGCTTTCCATTTTATTTTTTCTCCTTTACTTTATGCTTATTCTCTTATTTACGCTCTCTTTGATTGGCCTTCAGCGACACTATTGAATCCGACTTTCCTTCGTCCTCGCCCATCTACCTTCCTAAGCCGGTCCGTCTTTCGACTGTTGCCGACTTTCCTGCCTCCGTCTCCTCTTCCCAGTGTACTGCCTTTTCTGCACCATTTAGGCCCGTCAATCTGGCCATCAGCTCCTCCATCAGTGACGACGAAGCTGACGTCGATGTTGACATCGGCAACGACGACAATGATGACGACGATGATGATGACATAAACGACGTCGACGAAGTCCTTGACTGCGACCACACCGAGCCGGCTCTCGAGGATGGGGCAAACTCAGACGCCTTAGTCGACAGTATCGATGGTCACCCGGAGAGGATTGTCTGTACAGCTGCAGACTCGGTCTTGGAAGACTGCTGGTCCATCTCTGAAGCGCACTCTTCGCCCTCCTCTAAAATGACGGCGTCGTTGAATCGGCCTCGCCGTCTTCCCGTTTCTGCATCACAAGCCCCAGCGCCGCCCACACAACGCCAGTTTGCTGTACGTCGTCTTGCTGATCCGATTTCCTCGTTGTCCGTCTTCGGTGCCAATCATTCCGCGTCAGACATCAGTTTTGACGAAACCGAGGACACCACGTCGGCAGCACCAGTCCTGCCTTCGCCGTCTCAGCCGACCAACTCCACCTCAGACCAGGCTGACGCCAGGCCGGCCGACCCGTCCACACAAGAGACGGTCTTCTCCGATCTACCGGCCTACTCGGCCTTTCTCGACCCCGCCATCAGTCCCGAAGAGATGCTGGCGCTTAGTGCATACTTGACCCAGCACCCCAGTTGGCTCGGTTTCCAAGGTTTCGAGGCTAAATCTCGCTATTCGCCCAAGTCGATTGCGCGCAATGACACAATTTGGGGTAGACAACTTTTATGATAAATTTTTCTTTCTTTTTTGCACTTTCCCATTTTGTTTTTCTCCTCTTGTTTACTGTAGTTGTTTGACTTGTGTTTCCTTTTTTTCTTTCTCTCATTTTAGTTCTTTGAATTCGGCTTCTTTTCTTTTCCTTCCTCTTTTATTTCTTTAGCTTCTGTTCTCTTTTTACGTTTGTTGCTTCTTGTTGTTCTTATGTTTATTCTTTCTTTGATTCTTATTTTTATTCTACTTCTTTTCCGTTTTTCTCTTTCTTCTTCGCTTCTTATTTTTCTTATGCCTACACTTGTTCAATTGCGTTTTTCATTCTCCTTTAGTTTGGCCTTATTTTTCTTATTTCTCTATTTCTCCCTTCTTTCATTCTTTTTGCATTTCCTTTTCTCCTGATTATCCTTGCACCCAAAATTCAAGTCCTTTATATAATCTCCTAGAGTGCTGGCAACACTAACGCCCAAATCACTCCTTTCTCCGCCATCAATGTCTGCTCGTACAGTTGTGACAAAGTATTCCAATCATAATGTGATCTTTATGAATAACAGTCCTGATCGCTCCTTTATTATGTAGATTGCTTATTTGTAGATTGGTTCTGCCCTTATAACGGCCTAAATTTAGGGTAACATTGCAACTTCGTGCGCTGCTCCTAGAAGGATTCGACCCCACTTTTCATACCAATATTTGAATACAGATTTTTTGCTTAATTTATTTTCCTCATATGGATTCCGCCCTTTGGCGCCTGTTCACATTATTCCTTTTTGAAAGCTTACAATGTTTGGAATCGTGGGGGCTTTCGAATCACAATCCTTAAGACTTTTTCTAAGTCTCGATGAGATCTAAATTAGAGATAAAGTTTAACCAGAAAACACTTTTGTATCACGTTTGCGTCAAACCGGTTGTATTGAGTGTCAGTTTTTTAATGTATAATAAATCGTTGACTAGAATCCGCTATAGCTTGTATGTGAAAGGAAGATTCGTTATCGCTCGAGTGGACTCTTTGAGTTCTCACTCTTTTAGATTATTTCTCTCGCCTTTTTTAAAGGTCTACGAGGAAAGGTTAGTAGGACTTTCATGAGTGCCCCAGACTCTTTAAAACAGTCGTATTTAATGGTCATGAAATGGTACCGATGATGACACCTTGTTGTGGTTTTCCTCCACACAGGAGTATTTTGACGAGTGACATTCGAACCAATGACGTTTGCGCTGTGATATGATGTCGACTTATACCTTGAGCCTACATCATGTTATTATTGCTCACTTTTCTTTCTTTTTCTGATTTGTAGAGCTTATCACCTCTGAACGGGGCTACCTTTCGTTGCTGTTGTTAATGCGCGACGTCTACATGCGCCCATTTCCCCTCAATGCTGAGGTGACCGTCTCTGCCTCTACTGATTCGATTCCTGTTGGCTCTGACGGCCATCATCCCTTTGCCTGTCCCGGCGAGACTGACTCTGAGCCAGAATTACGTCGCGAGCTGTTCCCTTTTCTCGAGGAGCTGGTTCACTTGCACGCTCAGATTCTGGCTCCACTCTTGGCTGCGCATAGTTGTCGCGAAGATCGTGTGATCCAGGAGCTCGGGAGTTGTCTGCTCTCAGTTGTAGGCGATTTTTGTTGTTTCATTTAATTTAATAATCAGTTTTGTTCAATCCTACCATGGGCTGCAATCAGCAGTGCTAAAAGTAGTACCAGAAAGATCACTTTTCAGTTTAATTGCTTTCTTTATCTTCTTGCATTTTGTGTGTTTATCTATGTGGATTGGCACCTCTTGAAAGTAAGCTTTGAAGACG